AACGACGGCGGAGTGACTACAGTCGCCAATCGACGAACAGTAATCTGCCAGGAGCGGAGTCGGTCTCTCTTAGAGCGGATAATCGGAATCGGATTCTCCTTCGAGAGCGGTGGATCGGTTCTGATTCTCTTTCGAGAGCGGATGATCGAATCTCTCGATTACGATTACGCGGCATTTTATATACCTCGAATCTCGCTTGATTCGCTATTTACCGCTGTTGTTCGGCGGTCGCGCTGTTTATTGTTTTGGAGGACGCGCTGTCCTCTTGCGCTTTTCGGTTCGCGGTGTTCTGCGTTTCCTTGTTTTGTGACGTAACGACATGCATCGTTACAACTATCATCCCGCAGTTCTCAAGAGGTAGCGCACGTTCCAGATAGTATACATTTCAGTGATTTAAACTGTATTGTGCTGAAAATCAAATCTTTTTATGTCTCACACCGCTTGAGATCATTGAAAAGTTTCACCCGTATAAATTTATCACTCATGCTGTAAGTATAAAATTTTATATTCTTTGTAATAGTTTTGAAATGGTTTATATATATTCTAGTAATATTTTAAATGTGCTTTTTAAAATATTTCGTGTGTCTTATAGGTAGCAAAAATATAGAATTAATAAGAACTTGTGGAAATGCTGACATTTGGCTTAAGGGATTGCATAACAGAATTTGAAGGAAACAGTGTATGAGATGAAAGATATGATAAACAATAAGGAGGTACAAATTCAACAAAACAATTAAGTAAATGTCAGTAGTATGGGTATAGAGAAATTAGTAAGACAGGCAAATCAAGATGTCTTGTATGAGGAAATGGATTGGGAACCGATGCAAGACGAAGAAATTACATTACAGGTAATTGTTATGATTAAAATGTTGCAATAATACATAGAATATCAGAGATTAATTCTATAAACATATTCTATAAATATTCTTAAATTGTAAAGAGTCTAGCATATTTTGTTTTTTTTTTAGACAGGTTGAAGGTATTAGGGCATAACTTAATAATGAAAATTGTGCGAATGTATCAAACTGTTCGTAGAAAATACTACAGTGCTCACATAACCATCAGAATCGCAAGAGAAACGTCCATTTTATATTGTTCTTGACACAAATTTATTTCTGACAAATCGTGAAATCATTGAAGAAGCAAGAGATGTTACTTT